TAATATAAACAAGTATCTGCTTTTTCTTAATTCAGGGTTCTAGAAAAAACTGATTGGATTTTGGGTCTTGGGCTAGAAGTTCGAAGAGCTGCCTTTTCCCTCCCTCTAATGAGAGCCAATCCAGAGAAGATAAATTGCCTTTTGGTCCCTTAAGGAGGTGTTAATTAGGAGGAATAGATACAAGGATAGGTGCTCCCTTCTCAGTGGTATGGATTGAGATGTAGATACTTACACTGTGATGGGTGCTTTAATAGGTTTACAAAATGTTGACAATGTACTCCCCTCATAATCGAGTTTATAGCATCACTACGCCATATACATGTTAAATATTCATACATACATTAGAAAATCGTGTGTGTGTGTGTGTGTGTGTGTGTGTGTGTTGGGACTGCAGCTCGACTATCTGCTTCACTGTATTTTCTTCTATATATCCAAGTAAAAACATGAAGTATTTTCCACTTTTATGGACACTCTACAGTGGGATTAAAAATTAACTCCATTTGCCAGCACTCATGCTGGAATATGACAATTTCTCGAGAACCTGTTTCTAGTCCTTGGTATCAAATAGCTACCCAGAAAAAGTCTATACTTGCCACCCTCCCTTATAACCAGGCATGGTTAGTCGGATTTCAATGACCCCAGTGTAATACAAACACATGAGGTGTGTGTAGTCCACTTTTTATCCTTAAAGCCTGGGTGTACACTCCATCTGTCCCTGACCTTCTCTCTCATTAAACAATGGTGTGAGAGCAGCCACGTTGGGCCAAAAGAGAGAAGTCATTTGTTGAAGATAGCAAAATCTCCTTCTCAGGCATGAAGTGTCTACTACATGTCACAGGGAAAACAGATCTATCTTACTCCAACAGCTGCATTTTTAGTTTCATCATTACATCTTAAATATTTTAAATAGAAGTAAAGGACTCCAATAAGTGATATTGGTTGTAGGAAGGCTAATGGAAACACGGGATGATATTTGGGTAGTATTAGAGGACAAGAGGAGGGAAAGTATTGAGTTACAAAAACTGGGTTTTTTTTTTTTTTTAATTTTGAGACAGGATTTTACTAAGTCAGTAAATTGCCTAAGTTGGGAAAATTGCAATCCTGTTTTAGAGTCACAGAATGTCAGAATTATATGGCTCAAGGAACTCAGGGCTGCATAATATGAAGCTCATAATTTGGCTTCAAAAAGAATGCTTCATTTACATTTTCAACAAAGGACACTAAATCTGGACCAAAACTCTTGCCTAATTGTAGACCTTCCCAAATTCATTAATCTTTCTCTACATTTCAGTGCTTCAGGGAAACACGAAATCTAGAAATATTCTCCAATTCTTCTCTTACCATTTTTAATGTATTAAGTACTTTATTATATACCAAAAATTATGGTCAAGACTTACAGGTACAATTTCACTGAGCAACCCCAACTCTATAAAAGGTATAATTATTTTTACCCATTCCATTCAGATAAACACATTGAAACTTGAAGGAGTGTTAGAACGGATAGCATTGTTCTAGCTTCATTCATCTCTGCTAGCAGAAACCTGGTTCTGCTCAGAAGTGGAGCAGCTACACACATAGTGTCAAGAACAGAGATATAAAACTGCTGTCTCACAGAAATTTCTATTAGTATAGAACATTTTTCTCTCAGAGAAAGTTCCAGAAGGACAGTCATAGTGGCCATGTAATTCCAACATTCTGTGAGTCTAAAACAGGATTGCAATTTCCCCAACTTAGGCAATTTTCTGACTTAGTAAAACCTTGTCTCAAAATAAAAAAAACAGTTTTTGTAACTCAATACAAAGGCCCTGGGTTCATTCCCCAGTACCAGGAAAAAGAGAAAAGAAAAAAGTTCTGGGAAGCACAAGGCTTTAGAGTAAAGGCTCAAGGAGTGTGACTGGAAACAGAAAGCCCAGGTTTGAATACCATTCTCACCACTTGCCAGCAGTATGCATTTAGACAGATTGCTTTCCTCTCTGTGTGCCTCAGTTTCCTCATCCAAAAACAAAAATGGAAATAATAGCATTTATCTCCAAGGATTAAATGATACTGAAAGTGCTTAGACCACCACAGAGAATATAGTTAGTAATTGTGATTAGTTGGAAGCTGTTTTAAAAATCATTTCCCAAACTCTTATATGACAGTAATTATGCAAAATAATTCTCAATCAGAATAGTTCCTGATCTTCATACTATTTTTATCCTAACTGGGAATGTCAGAGCACACCAGTCCAAAATATGGACAATTACAATTTTTATGTATAGACATGACATGTTATTTAATGCTAACATTTACTCTTAGAAGAAAGAAATTTTATACCGATTAATGTTAAGGGTATAAAGACACAGGTGGTTGACAAGCTTGAGAAGTGAGAAGACACAAACCTATGCATAAGAGAACTCAGAGCTCAGTACAGAACATCTGTACTTGCTGAACCTGTTAGTGTGGTCTTGGGAACCAGAGGCATAGCCACCCTGAAATTAAAACAAAACAAAACAAAACAAAACAAACAAACAAACAAAAAAAAACCCCAGGATTCAAAGGTGGGCAATCCTGGGTGAAGAGTCACAGAATGTTGGAATTACATGGCTCAGGGAACTCAGGGCTGCATAATATGAAGCTCATAATTTGGCTTCAAAAAGAATGCTTCATTTACATTTTACATTCGAAGGTGAAGTACTGCAGAACCATCTGAGATCAACTACCCCGAGCAGGGCTAAGAGTGTGCTTATCCAGTGGCACATTGGTAGCGTCATGCTTTCTGTCAACTAATGTCTTGTCTCACTCCTTACCTAGGACTGGAATTCCTCTGCAAAGTAAACTGGAAATTTTTTCATAATACCTTGGAGCCTTTGCTAAAGGCTCACTCTGCTTTGATGGCCCTCTGTGTCATCTGTGAGTGACTGGTTCTTCCTCTGTGTTTAGATCCCTACTTAAATTCACCTAATGAGATAGGATTTCACATGCATCACTCAGTACAGAGGAACTGCCAAGATATTAGCTCCATTCCCCCCACTTTACAATCTTTATAATATTTATTGCTTTCTGATAGTCTCCTTTTCCCAAAATATAGCAGTTTTATTGCCTTTCATGTCCTGTTATGATACAAATACAAAACAGCAGCAAGGAACTTGAGTATTTGGCTTGATACTATATCTGCAATGTATGGTTTTTTGTTCGTTTTTTATTTTTTGTCTTTTTGAGGCAGGGTCTCACTATGCAGCTCAGATTGGTCTTGAACTCATTTTGTAGTCCATGCTGGACTTAAACTCACAATGATACTCTTGCCTCGGCCTCATGAGTGCTAGCATTACAGGCATGTACCACAATGCCAGGCTTATCTGCAATATCTAAAAAAATGCTTGGAGCATAATACATTCTCTGGAAATACTTACAAAATGAATGAAAAATCCAAGGTATCAACCAAAATGTCTATAGTAGCCAGTTGTTCCTTGCAGCTATTGTTCTGCTTTCCAACATTAGAACACACCTTCTATAGACATAAATTATCTGAAACCTCAAGAGCTTATTTCAGTAATCTATAGCAAGCAAAGGCAGTAAATTATACCTTTTTAAAAAACGATACATTCACTCTGAAGCCAGGATCCTTAACAGCACACAATTCAGCTTCCTTCAAGTGTCTGGGTTACACCCTGAATCTGTATCATCTACCTTCTCTCCACCCCCCAGCATCTTACACAGCCTCCTGGCTGTGTAATGGCTTGAGCATTTTAAACAAACATGGAGCTGGATTTCACGACAGGGATCACACTTCCCACTGCAGACCACATGGGTCAAACCTAGAGTTTTTCAGCTGTTCCCTTTGTTCCCTACAAAGAGACAATGTGCACCATGGAGACAAGGGGTGTACTTCAGAACACGAGGGCTAGAACAGACACTTCATGAGATTAGAGCAGGTGTCAGGTGAATCACGGAAGATCCTGAGAAGTGGGTGTGACTCTGAACTGGCGCTGTCAGAAAGTGGAAGGTAGCTCCTCAATGATGTTTTAAATCATATCAAGAAAAAAAGATTAGAGTGAAGCTACAGCTTTAATTGGTAAAGAAGTACCCATCACTCATATTAGCTAGGAGAGGAAAGAGTTGGTGTTTTGTGGTTTTACACTGTGACCTTGTTTTCATCTGTGCTTAGATAAAACTATGAAGTTTGTTTTGCTTGCTTATTGGTATCATTTTTGTATGTGACCCCCTCTGATGTTAGAATCCTGAGAGGCCTGAGAATACTGTGACCCAGCTGTGAAGCTAGGTCAGCAGCTGACCACACAGAGACTGCAGGTCAGGCCATTCCCACACAGGGGCTGCTTGTGCTTTTCTCCCAGCCACCTTGTAGATAATTGCCCCCATGTCCAGCCCACATGTCATTATGTATAGCTTTTGTCTGTTCATAGGATCAATCATGGAGCCCAGCAGCTTCTACCCCACAAATGCTGCTTAAGCCATTTTAACTTACCTCAGAGCATGCTAAGCCTACTTCTTCCAAATGCAGCAGGAGGTGTGGTATTCTAGAGGTGAGGTGGGAAGGGACAGGATGGAGTGGACATTGAGATGCTTGAGCCAGGAGATGCTTGGGAAGTAAGATCCATCTGGTCATCAGGACAAAAATGACAACTCTAACATTGCCAGGCTAGGAGTCTGGGTGTTAGTGAGTATATTCACCAAGGTAAATCCATATCCACCATTATAAATCCATAGCAGGTTTGGGGGAAGCGATAATTTCTGTTTGGTATGTAGCCCACCTGAGGTGCTCAGAGTAGACAGACAAGTGTGGGAGAAAACTGGCACTGGACTCCACCAACACAGTGAAAGCTGGAGGGGGTCTTAGACAATGAAGAGAACATGTAACAATAGAATAGAAGTGGCTGCAAAACAGAAAACCAGTGGGGAATTTCTCCAAAATCAAAGCTTTCAGAGAGGCTAAAAAATGTATGCTTTTAAAAAAAGATCAGTAGAAAAGGAGGATAACCAATAAATATTGGCACTTTTTTTCTTACATTCATTTATTTAACAAATATAAGTCACAAAACTGCTATATGTTCAAGGCTGTCCAGGCCATGAAGGTAATACAGTAGGGAAGAGGAAGAAATCAGACAAAATTTTTGCCCTTAGAAATCTTACATTGTAGTGGAAAAACAAATAATAAATGTCATCAACAAGTAAGTTACATAACTTGTTAGATCATAAGTTATTTTGAAAGTAAGTAAGACAAAAATAAGATTATCTGAGCTCAGGGTATAAAAGGGAGGTTTTCAATTTTAGAGAAAGTGTTTATAAACTAGGAAGGGACTTTGAAACAAACAGTAAGTAGGCAAGAGATTGAATGATGCTGTCACCTGAGGCAGATCTTCTCAAAGAGCAAGGAAGTTTTCCATGCTGGCAATAGCTAGTCCAACAGGAGAAATCCTTTGCCTTACAGATAAAAGATGCTCGCTCAATATGTATTTGTGAGTTAATTCATCCAATTAGTATATAAATAAGTCAATTCATTCTAGAAGCTCAATCATAATAAAGACATGAAAACATTTTCATGAGTTTATTTGGGAAAAAAGTAGCATCTTTCTGATACAATACACACTTAAAGGATATAATTTAACTTATCTCCTTTTACTTCCTTTCTTTTTTCTAGAGAGGGTATGGGCTGGATAAATTATACAATAGATATTTGAAGGATTAGAGTTTGGGTCTTTTTTGGAAGGGAAGGGGATGGTATTTTGTCACTCTTTTGCTTCTGCCATTTGTTTTATCAAAAAAAAATCACAGTCTTATTCTGATTGACAAGCAGCAGCACATAACAATTTCTTATGCCTGCAGTGTCTAATATAAAACAGATCTGTATACACATGTACATACACGATTTATAACAAGGCTCTATAAAAGCTAAATTGTGTCTTGAATTTTGAGAACTGAAATATCTGCTTTTCTGCCACTGCTGCAGAGAGCTCATAAATGATGGAAGTGCTTTGGCTTTCAGAACGATGTTATTTCTTTGCAATGCGACTTCTTTGGGGAACAAATATGAAAAATAAAATGTGTCATTTTGCATGATACAGAGTCTTTTTATTGTCACCTTCCTGACTTTAAAAGTGAATGGGACAAATCATAAAAAGACATATTGAAGGTGCAAGTTCTGCCATAGATTTAGATATTCTAATGGAGTGTACAATTCAGCAAGTCTCTTCCGTGTCTCTCATTTCTCCCATTCCTTATCCGTGGGCAGAGTGACCTAGTAATAAAGCACTGAACTGTGAATAGGATGATTTACTCCTTGGCTGGCAGCCTCTCTCAGCTTATGGCTGTTGGAGATGATGATTTTCCTATCAACCTACTCCACAGGAGTGTTGTTAAAATCCATCAGATTGAGCCCTGGGGATTTAATGGAAGCGGATGTGTACACATATGGCTATAAAGACAATTTGCCAATTTTTCAGAGATCAAGTCATAAGGATCAATTATAAACATTTTGCAGGCTTACAAACTGATACTTTAAAAATTAATGGAACCACAATAAGACTACTCCACACTCCCTAGGATGACTATAATGACAACAAACACGCAATAACAAGTATTGGTGAGGATGTGGAGAAGTTGGAACCCTCGTACATTGCTGTTGAGAATATAAAGTGGCACACCACTGTGGAAAACAGTCTAGCAGTTCCTCAGAAAGTTGAATATAAAGTCACTGTACAACCCTGCAATTCCATTTCCATGCATATTATCAAGATAATTGAGAACATACATCCACAGGAAACGTATACAATGTTCACAACATTATAATCTCCATAAGTCAACAAGCAGACAAAGAACGTGATACAACTATAAAGTGTAATAATATGCATATACCAAAATGAAACACTTACACATTCATTGTTCAATATTGATGAAACTTGAAAACAAAAAAAAAATCAATATAATGAAGTCAATTACCACTTCTATCTCCACTCCAAGAATAGCCTTTGCTCAGAAGCTTCCTGGCTTTCACAACTGTCCTTGACGTGTGCAATCCTTATAAGTCTCTGCTTTACAGAAGAGGAAATAGAGACTTGGTACACGCTAAGAAATATTCATAAGATCGTAACATTAGTGTGAGATTAGAGTCCTTGGCCACCATGTCCATGTGAGGAAGCCCTGCATCAGGGTATCACCTTAGCAATGTGAACTTGCTATTAATTTTTCTGGAAAAAAAAAAGACTAAGTTTTGAGAGATATCTTCATAGATCTGTTGAAAGACCATCACCACAATCATATAACTGTCTCAAAAACTGACAATAATTCTTTCATGCCCTGTGAAATTTAACCAGATTTCAAATTGTTAATTTAAAAAAACTGAATGTTTATTGTATCCATCAGTGCTTACTGATGGATAAGGGAAACAGATTAAATGCAAGATATAGAAATATGTAAGAATTTACAAGACTATCTTATGAGAATGGCTGCCCACAGGGTCAGGTATGGAGGAGTGCAAAAGGACTTTCTTTACACTGAAGATCTAAAGGCTCCAGTCAAAGATCTGGAGCTCACTGTAGTGTCCCATGCAAATCCATACCAGGAGGCTGAAGGGTCTGTGATGGAAGGCTGAAGAGTCTATGCTGGAAGCCAGGAGCTGATGTTGAAAGTGAGGATGAAGACCAAAGCTGCTCTGAAGAAACAGAAACCAGACTTCCTTTTTTATATCCCTCTTACTCCATTCAGGCAGCAAAGCCTATTGGTTAGTGTCACTCACACCCAGGATGAGTCTTCTGCCTTCAGTAATTCCCTTCCGCCACATCCAGAACTACGAAGATCTAATCTAGGTGGGTGTTTCTTGCTTAAATTGACACAGTCAGTTAACTATCACATTTATAAAGATAAAAGTGGCATACCATATAATTCATTTTTTGAAATGTACAATCTAATGATCTAAAACAATATATTCACATTCCTGGCAAGCACAAGGTCATGAATTTGATCCCTGGTACAAATTTGCAACTATCACTACTACTTCATGCCAAAACAGTTTTATCATCCAAAAAATAACATCCCATATCCATTAGCAGTCACTTCTCATTTGTTCACAAACTAAAAGTGCTACCCAATCATGACTAGACTTTTTTATTTATTTATGGATTTCCCTATTTGATCTAGTTCATATACATGGAATCATGTGGGATATTCTAATTGCTACTTGGCTTCACTTAGCATGTTTTCAAGTTTCATCAATATTGAACAATGAATGTGTAAGTGTTTCATTTTGGTATATGCATATTATTACACTTTATAGTTGTATCATGTTCTTTGTCTGCTTGTTGATTTATGGAGATTATAATGTTGTGAACATTGCATACATGAAAGCCAGGAAGCATCTGAACAAAGGCTATTCTTGGAGTGGAGATAGAAGTGGTAGTTGACTTCATTATATTGATTTTTTTTCTCTATTTTAGCAACTCTGAAAATAGGATGCATCTAATAGCCAATACCATTTCATGATTTAACTGGTAATATTTTTGTTTTCTTAATGGTTAATAAAATAAAAGAACATCTTATACTTTATAACTGCTGAGATAATGCTGTTTCTATCAGTGCTCATATCATTACTTTATTAGGCTATGGATGGCTTTAGTTTTCATCTCTTTTGCTAAATACTCCTCCTTTAGTTCGAAAGAAAATCAAGGTATTTCTTCTTTCTTCCTTTTCTTCCATATTACTTGTCTCTTCTTGTGCACAATTATTATCCTTAAATCTAAAAGTTATAATCATCATGAATATATGCAATTTAAACTTCTGTCATGGTCCTGTTATAATTTGTGTCTAGATGTCCACCCAAAACCTCATGCAGTCATGAGGGCAGCCTTCTAGAATCTGTGACTGATTCAGTATCCAATGCTGAATTATGGATATGAGCATTTCGCTCCCCTCGAGGTGGGTGTGACCGACATACAATACAAGCGACCCAAAGAGTCTTCTCTACACACTGTTCCCTTTTTGTCCTTGTTGCTTTTGCTGTCTTCTGGCTGTCATGAACTGCTGGCCTCTGCCATGTGCGACTCTCTGCCTTGGAGCCAGCCGAGTATGAACTAAAACCTCCACAAACTGTGAGCAAAAAACCTCTCCTTCCTTAATTTTGAATGTTGGATACTTTTTCTCAGAGAGAAAAATAACCAATACAGTCTCCATCGTATCTATTGAATGCAGATAAAAAAGAAGTTAATATTCTAAAATTCATAGAGAACACATTCATTTAATAGCAGAAAACAAACAATTTTAAGGGTAAAGCACCTCAACAGGTATTTCTCTAAAGTAAATATGAAATAAACAACATATGAATAGATGTTCATCATTATCCATTAGAAAAACATAAACCAAAATCAGTGTGAGAGATCACCTTACATTCACTAAAATGGCAATTATAAAGAAGTCTAGAGAAATGTTCACGGAGAGTATAGAAAATGCAGCCTTTGCACACTGTTTGAAGCAAGGTAGATTGGTGTAAACATTATGAAAAATAATACAGAGATTCATAAAGAAATTAAAAACACAATGACCATATGACCTAGCAATCCATCTCTAGGTATATGCCTAAAGGAAATGAAATCATCCCACTGTAAAGATGCCTGTACACCTATAAGTGTCGTAGCATTAGCCACCATAGTCAAGACAGAGAAATAACCTAAGCAGCCATTAACTCAAAAATGCATTTTTAAAACTGTGCACACAGGAACATAGTGGGTAACTCTGTCAGACAATATGTTAATTTGCTTTCTTATTATAACCATTGTACTATAAACATCTACCCCATAACACTATATTGTATACTTTCAATATACAAAACAGAATTTTTTAAATAAAAGAGAGTAAAATAAAAGAGAATGTAATAGATTGATGTTTTTATAGGTTATTTGGAGAAGTGTGCTCTAATTAAGTGATACTTGAAAAAACTAGAATATAATAATCATGAAAATACTTTGTGAACTCTAAAGTTAACTAAATATTTTTTCTCCTCATGCTATAAAATAATTGTATCCCATGAGTTAATTGGTTTTATCTCTTAAAAAAGACTATGAAGTTCTGGGCTGGTCTAAGAGACAAGCATGGACTATATAATTGCCATGCAGTTTGATAACTACCAATATAGGGAACTTTAACACTTCTGTGCAAACATATAGAAACCACCCATAAGAGAAAGCTTCACTGATAACACCACTTGAGTTGCAGTCTTAAAAAAAGTTAACTAAAAAAATTTTAAATAATTTTTACGAACAATAATTTTAGAGAAAATCTATGTAGCAGAAGAGCATACCCAAAAAATCACCCATTGCACACTTTTTGTTTAGCTTTCTCCTTTTATAAATAAAAAGAACAAATGAAATCTCTCCTTATCACCACACTTGGCAAACTGTTTCTGTAAAGAGTGAAACAATAAATATTTTAACTTTGTGAACCAGACTGTCCTTGTCACAATACTCAACTCTGCCAATTAGCACAAAAGCAGCCACAGAGAGCACATAATGAATGAGTGTGCTTGTGGTCCAGCAGATTTTTATTTACAGAAGCAGGAAGGTAGCTGAGTTTGACCACAGTTCATCAAACTCTGCCTTACCCAAAGCTCAGAAATTTGGAAGAAATTATTTAGAGTGTGTCCAAATTGTTAATTTTTTTTTTTCTATTTTTACTAAGACCTAAAGGATGGGCAAGACAGCATAGTGTGTCAGGGGAAAACAGTACAATCCAAGCAGATTTAAAGTCACATGCACAGTTGCAGTCATAAAAATTATGAAATATTCAGAGAACTGTGCAGATAGCGTTGTTAGACCTGATGGTTTTTTACTAGCTAAATTAAACATGTGTGCGTGTATGTCTATGTGTGTGTATGTGTGTGTGTGTGTGTGTGTGTGTGTGTGTGAATTATATTGAAACTGTGACTTTTTCCTTGTGTTTTTTACATCTAAATTACCTACAGGAGGAAGAATTTTAATGTTTCTAATTGGAGTCATTTTCTAGAATCTAAATAGGAATAAAACAAAGGCCCTGGCTTGAATATTTTCATTTCTCACTTGTCTCCAACTATATTTCTAAAGATTTCTGTTCCTGTCAGGTTTTTAGCTCTGTCATAGCTGCTCCTGTATCTTAATATCTATTAGCTTATCCAACACCCATCTTTGCATTTTGTTCTCACATTTAAGTCAAAATGATCTAGAGCCTTCGGAGTAAATCCTGCATATCCATGCTAAGGCTTTCTTCTCAACCATTTCTAAATTTGTCTTCTGATAATGATGTGGCAAATCATATAAACAGCTACATAACGTCACAATTAACAAATCTCTCAAGAGCAGTATGAAGCCAAGAAGCTGAGCTTTAATAGAATCTTTTATAAATTTTCTGATGTCTTTGGGCAAATATGTGTGCTCTCCCTGCAAATAGCTGCAGGTGGTACGATGGGACCAGTAAAAGGCAGATGCAGCTCTGAGTTTTTACTCCTCTAGCTATTGTCCATGCACTTCTTTGGGGCTCATCTGTAAGATGCAAAATTTAATTACTTCACAAAGTTGTGCTATTAAAAGAAATCATAGCTGAAGTTTGGACTGGCCAAGTAGTACTTATTAGTACCTAATAAATATTAAGTGCTTTTGTGTCCTTTCAGCAATATACTCATCTATTCACAATGTTCAAATGCAGCCCCAAGCACCAATATATGGGAAATCGGTCTTCATCCATAGGTACAGATTATTTGACGCAGAAAGAAAATATAGGTATTTTTTAGAATTAAAATAGCACTTAAATCATCTTGAGAAAGAAACTCTAAAAACAGGGAAGGTAGAGAAGAAATTAAAACAACATTCCTCTCCTAGCTTCTTGTGATTTAGTGTTTTATTTTAAGCCTTCGCATACTCATAATTTTTAGTAATACATATTTCTAGCCCAGCTTTGTCCTCACTCTTATTTTTCTCTATTCTTTCATTCCACCTTTAACTCATGTTACTTTGTTATATTTTATGTTCATCTGTAAGCTCCCTGAAATCCTTTTCGGAACACAGTGGGGTATAAATAAAATAAAATATTGTATGTTGGACATGACAACTTCAGAAAAAGAGTGAAGGAAATCAATAAACTCCTCACAGTGTCTAAAACGTATAACTCCATCCCATAATCTGTGGCCTGCTGGGCAATAAAGTCAACAGTTTGCCTTTTCCTGAACCTGTTTTGTTAATTAAAAAGTTATAATAGCTACCATCTATTAAGTACTTTCTCTGCACTGGATATTCAGCTAAGAGATTTTTACGAGTTTATTCATTCAATTTTCATAACAGTTCTGGAAGGCAAGTACTAATCATTATCCCCAGTGGACACCTGAAGAAATTGAGTGCCGAAGAAATTTAGCATATCTCTTGGAGCCACACACTTGTCAGCCAGGGTCTCGCTGTATGGTCCCTGGATGAGCCCACCTTCAAACTTCGGCTCTGAGCTACAATGCAGTGCTACTTAGAGGGGAATTATAAAGTCCTTATAAAGGATTTTGAAAATTTTGTACAATTCCTTCCTTCATTTGGCTTTTGTGTATCAATTGGCAGGTTATTTTTAAAAATTTATTTGCATCAGTACATGCTTGCAGCACATAATGATGACCTTCATCATGGGGAATTTGCACACGCACGTGACACATCCTAATTCTTTTTATGTCCCCTTTGTTTCTCCACCTACTCCATCCCTCCCTGCATCTCTTGGTTCCTTCTTTATTTGCAAAAGATCCATCTTTCTGTTTCCTATCCTTTCTTCAATAAAATTTTCAAAAATTTTAATAAGACTTTTTATGGCAAGTAAGATAAGAAAATGAGTTAAAAGTGCCTGTATTTTTGAACGGTTGGGGCAATCCAATAAAATATTCAAGGATAACATTGTCAGACATAGTACAAGGCCCTGGGGGCTATATAATGTTGGAGTCTTTGGCTCCCTAATGCCTGTGTCCAGGGGGATCCAAATAATGAATCTGAAATTATGTCTTGGTGCTCCTATAAGAAAATACTCATGAAGTGGGTCATTATAAAGGGCAAAAATTTAGTTTTTCATAATTCTGGAGACCAGGAAGTCCACACATTTTTGGGTACTGAGGATCCAGTCTCTCTGTTTCCCAGATACCACCTTCCTGTCACATTCCGTGGAGAACAGAAATGCTGTTGTCCGTTGTCATGTGGCAGAAGGGCAAACTGTATATTGCCTCTTTTAAAAGACTTAACTCTTAATCATAAAGAAGGTGCCCACATAATTCAGTCACCTCATAAAGGTTTCCTATCTTAATTGTAGCACACTTGCCATTAAATTTCAGTGCCTAATTCTAGAGCGGAGACATTCTAACCCTAGCTAGTGCAAATGATGTGATGAGAGATAAACAGCGGTAGTGTATGGTGGTCTGAGAGTGGTGAGTGAAGGGTACCGTGTCTAGACAACAAATAAAATAAGCAGTATTTTCTCAGATTATGTCACAACCACCAAAAAAGTGTGTTTAACTGAGGTCTTTTGAAAAATGAGATGAGAGAAGAGGTGGAGATGTTAGAGTATGGTAAATTAGGCAGTTTGAGATGCTATAATAAAATGAAATAAAGGCAAACTTTACTTCTCATAGTACTGAGATGTAGAAAGTCAAAGTCAAAGCATCAGCAGAATTGATAGTTTCTTCCTACCATGCAATGGACAGACACCTTCTTACCATATTGAGGATATCAGAGAGTCCTTTCCCATCTCATCTTAAAAGGACACTAATGCTGTTAAGTCAGAACTTTATCTTAGCACTCTATCTGATGTTAATAGTCTCCATGGAGAGGCTATCTCCAAATATAGCCTCCCTGGGGATTAAGACTTCAGATGTACAATTTTTGAGGGGACACGAACATTCAGTCCATTACAGGTGAAGGAGGAAGGAGAGATGAGTTTCAAGCATGGAGAGGCTTTAGGGAGACAACATAGAACAGAGAGCATATTGCTTTCAAGGATCTGAAATAATTTTGCAAGTAGCATGTTTGGAAATTAGAAGGGTTTTAAGGTAAGCTGTAGTTCAGACTTTACCCAAGGACCAAAAGAATGACAAATCACTGGAAGGAATTTACATAGAAGGAATATGATAGAACATTATTCTCAAGAAAGCCTGATAGTAGTAGAAAGAAAAAATTGCTGGGGGGGAAGACAAGAGGCAGACAATTGAGGAGATCAGAGTTTTAGAGTAATACAATGAGGACAGTTCAAAGAAGTGGGAAGATTAGAGAGAAATGTTCAGGGAATCAAGACAGCAGAATTTGGAGATAAATTCAACTCTGTCAAAGACAGAGGAAGAAAGGTGTTAACAATGGCACCCAACTTGCTGACTTGGACTTGCATAGCCCTTGTGCTCCAGGTCAAGAGACAGGAGCTGTGTGTAGAACACAGAGAGAATGTGGGGGTGGGCACGGAAAAAACTGTCCCCTGGTTGCTAATGACCCCAAGCCTAGCTGGAGTCACTGACAGAGCTTTCTGTTACTTCAAGCCACCTTAAAGCCCTAAAGTTTATAGGTTAGTGACACTACACTAATGTTTACTTATCAGGTTTCTCTATTTTCACACAGGTTTATGTTCTGAGTATTGCTTTTATCTTCTTGGATACACTTTCTCAAGTAAATAGAGGTTCCAGAGGTATGAGGAACTGAGCTCTTTGATCTCATCCATATATAGTGCTTGGCTGAGCAATCTTGAGACTCCTGAGGTCATAAGTTTCTTTGCTGAAAAATGTCTAAATAAAAAGTAGATACATATTATAATAATACTAATAGTTCATGTTTATTGCATGCTAATAGATGTGAAGTCCCAGGCAAAGACTTATACATCACATTTAATCCTGACTAACACCTTTGAGGTAAAAACGTTGTCTCACCTTATAGAAAAAGACATTAATATTTTCTATCTAAGTTGTTGATCATAAATCACACGCTTCAGAAGTCAAGGACAGACTGACTCGCTGTCCTGTGATTCTGATCTTTATGCCATTGGGTCTCTAATTTTGTTCCCATGATAGTTTAATGACTGTAATTTTAAGTATTTTATTTGTGTATTAAATTATAAGCATATGTACTATGCTCTAAGAGGCACTCATATTATATTGATTATTGCAAAAAATTTGTAAAGTAATAAGGAAAATAAAAATCATTCATAATCCTACCACCTAGAGATAACCATTATTATAATTTTGATGTATTTCATGCCAATATTTTTCAATACATTTTTATGTTGAAATCAGTATTTATACATTTTAATCGTTATTTTTTCATTACATTATAATATAATCCTTTCTCCACACTATCAAATATGATTTACAAATGTTCTTTTCAATGGCTAAAAAGTATTTCATTATATGGATGTCTAATAATTAATGGCAACCATTTAGATTTGTAAGCATTTAGGTTTTTTCAATTTTACTAATATAAATAATATACTTGATATTTAAGATTATTTTCTTTAAAAAATACCAGCAAGGCACATGTTAAGGTTCTTACTACTTTCTAGATTAATGAAACATTAGATATATCAGCACAGTGAGAATCCATCTCATCAAAAACTCCCCAACACTGTGTACTATCACTTTTAAATCTTTAATAACAATTCCATTTTAATATTTTTCCTTGAGAACAAACTACTTAAACTTGTTATATTCCTTTGAAATTATTTTTTATCTTTTCTTAATTTTTTTAGCTTCTCCCACCCTTTTCAATTCATTTAACAAAGATTTATTAAACAACTGCTATATACTAGACCCAAGTTGAAATTTTGAAAATATAATAGTAAAGAAGACAGGCATGATCTCTGACCTCATGGTATTAACAGTCTAGGAGTAAGACACACAGCAGATGAATGTAAAATATCTAACAATAAAAAAGCTATGCAGGTAATTAATTAAAAGGGGTACTATGGCAAAGTAATAAAGCAGAGTTCTTGAGCTCTTAGGTCTCTAGAACCCTTTATTTACAGTTTTAAAAATATTGAAAGACAGAATGATAAAAACTGAAAAATGTTTAAAACGCTCATTTACACATTGTCCTGTATTAGTCATCACGCATCATATCACCCCTGGAAGACTCCCCCAGAGAGTTGGAAGAGGATAAAAATGAAAAGGCAAAGGGTGACATAATATTATGGAAACAATTTTGTTCTTACAGATCCTCTGCAGAGATTTTGAGGGACCTCTGGCATTCCACAGACCATACTTTACTGAACTGGAGAGTGAGTTGCTCCTTCGGATTGGGGTGGCAAGAAGATGTCTCATGAATATGAAATCTAGCCAAAGATCCAAATGATGAGAAAGAACAATAGCATTAATGTCAAAGCAAAGAGCACTGGGGTGAAAAGGCAAAGGATGAGAAAAAGTACACAAGAGGAAACGGACAGCAACAGGAGGACCAGGAGTAAGACCAGAGTGTCATTCTCAATAGGCTGTCTTTCTGTAGGAGTTTATTATATGCAAGATTGATTAGCCTTATAGCCTGAATTTCGACCCCACCTTTCCAGAATGAGATCCCTTTTTTTTTTCTACCTAGGAAGAGAAAGAATGATAGTATCACTTTTGTTCCAATGAGCAAATAAATGGCACACAGTGATGAAAATGAAGTTGATATAACAGCTCACTTTCAATAGCTCAAAGTCCCAAGCAGCAAGATGTGGAACAATGGTTTGCACTCTCTTTGTGTTGCTGCCTTGATTAGCATATAGAATAAGGAACGTTGGAAAGGAAACTTCTCTTTTGTCTTAGTAACTTAAGAGGATTTAGCTCAATCCAGTTTCTCATTTTCAAACAGAAAAATATGGGTAGAAACAGGCTGCTGCTGTACTCTTCCATTTATAAAGCCAGACTTCCCTACATCAGTCTCAATAGTCAGTCCAGATATTAAAGTAAATACAATACGATTACCCCAACGATCTGTCAGCAGTTCAGTCAGTGATCTAATGCAAGGTTCTCACTTTATTTATTTATTTCTTATACCAGGGATTGAACTCACTACCTTGCGCTTGCCAGGCTGGCAAGTTTCTCACTTAAAAACTAAATATTAAAGTGTAAATGGGATCACCAAAATTGAGCATCAGCCTGCTTTGGTACTTAAGTTCCACTAAGCAGAAACACTATAAACAAAAAGCACTGTTATCTAAGGACTATTGGACCCATGGAATGTTGAAAAGCACCCAAAATTTCAGCCAATACTCTGGTGACCAAAGAAAGCAAGGGGTCAAATCACATAGTTTCAACAGAGATGGATCTTGGGAAATGTGAAATGTTTCCCAAACCTCGGATGTTTGTTAAATATAGATGCCTGGACCCACTTTAGCTTGATAGTGTAGGAATCTCAGTGGAGAAGCCCTGGATATCCTTCTATTTTACAAATACTCTGCTTGATTTTTATCAAGCAAGATTTATTGCGTTGAGTTAATACCTTCCGCTGTTTATCAACAATTCCTACCTGCCATTATGCAACCACCTCGCCACCAACCATGTAATTTCCCAAAATTCCCCAATAAGAATACAGATTCCCAGACCTTGTTCTAGTGCCTAGATTATAGTTTTCAGGGGTGGAATCTTGGAATCCATATCTTAATGATTCCTTTGTTATTCGTACCACTAGGCAAGTGGGAGACCATTCTTCCACCAAATAATGTCTTTGGAGCTGAATGCAAATCATTTTGTAATTCTGAGCTTTCCAATCACAGTGCTACGTAAATCACATCATCAAATAGAGACACTCTATGCTTTCATTTGTAAAAGCGCAAAACTAATGCATTCTTCGAAAGTTCAGAAAGTGGGTAACTTTGGGGGCTCAGTGATTGGAAGGGGACTTTTTTAGGGACTCAGTGTTCTGTTTCTTCATTTAGTGTTGGTATCACGTGTGTGTTCAGTCTGCATAAATTCATCAATTCACATATATATTATAAATATTATGCACATATACATCAATATAATACTTTTCTGAAGGATTTAAAATTGGAGATATTATATTACAAAGATTAATTGAAACATAAGGAAAATATATATGCGTCTACTAAATCAGCATTTTTATCAGTATTTAAGATATACAAGTATACGTGGATCTTAGAGTATGCACCTCACCCCTGGAAAAATAATATGCCCACTTTAAATCCTAAGAGTTCTTATATGTGGAAGATAAGGTCTTCTTGAAGATCATTTGATTAACAACCTTTGCTTTGTTTTTAGTATCAAAAAATACACTCATGAATTTGAGCCCAGAAGCAAAATCTCAGCCTTCGAATTTGGGGCACCAGATGGCCAAATACAGCTTATTTATTTTCAGTCTCTCATTAAAAAAATTGGCGCCCCAAAATTGGATGGACTACTCTTCCTTATTCTTTTAAAAATATTATTTTTAAATTGCCAAATAAATGTCCTTAAATTTTTGCAATATAGAAAAAATATCTTAAAACCACACAATTAAGACTTTTGTCTATTTCCTTTTTAAAAATAGCTATGATGCTCATGTGATATAAACATAATTAATACTTTTACATCCTTCTTTTTTAAACATATACAATATAATTTGCTTATTTAGTTTTAATTGGGTTTATTTTCTGTACTTCTCAGACTAGAATACAAATATCACAGAGTTGGAACAGGGGTTTTTGTTTCTTATGTTCACTGATGTCTTTCAAGTGCTTAGACTAATACTCGGTACATTGTGGGTGCTCAATAAATATCTGTTTATCATTGAATGTTGAACAGGCCACATATATCTCTTCATAGTGTTATGACCTTCCAACCATTCCTTTAAAAAGATTCTGTTCTTTCCTTCTGAGGAGAATAACACTGAAAAAAGAGGCTTCCTACTCAATCTTCTACATTTCATGTTTCACAATAACATCTTATTTTTAATACTTTTCAGCTTAAAAACTGATTGTGAACTCAAATGCCTAAAAGCTTATGGAATTAAGTTCAGCATATGGAGTGTGAGACAAAATTGAACCCAGGAGCAGCACAACCCTTGGAAAACAAGTACTCTTTCTACCATACCCAAAGCGGGCAGCAGCCATTCATCTCTACTCACAGTCATTACGCAAAACTTAGAACCCCATCATCTGATTTTTCATGTAAAAGCAGAAATTTGAAACTTTACCTATATGCTCCTTGTCTTCACTGTTGCCAACTAATCCAAATTTTTATAAAGCATCATGCAGGTGTACCCAGCAAAACAAAAGGAATCCAAGGTACAATGGTGGAACACTGTGCATCCACTGGAATACCAAGCTCTGCTGGTGGGATGTAAAATGACATGGTCACTGTGAAGAACACTATGACAACTCCTCAGAAATCAACACAGAGCCCCCATAAGACTCACCAATTTCATTACTGTACACATCCCTCTCAAAACTTTGAAATCAGGATCTCAAAGAGATTTGTCCACCTGTGTTCACTGTGAGGCACTATTATAATAACCACAAGATAAAACTCAAACCCAAGTGTCAAGCAAGATGTAGTAAATGCATATGATGGAATATCATTTACTCTGAACAAAGAATAAAATTCTGACACAAATTACAACCATGAATGAAACTTGAAGATTTATGCTAAGGGAAGTAAACCAGTCACAAAAGAACAAGTATTATTCAGGCATTGTGACACACTCCTGTAATTCCAGCACTCTGGGAGGCAGAGGCAGAAAGATTACTAATTCAAGCCCAGCCTGAGTAATTTAGTAAAACTATCTCAAAATTAAAAAATCAAGGGGGACAGGGATATAGCTCAGTTTAAAGCCCCTCAGTTCAATGTCTAGTACCAAGAAAAACAAACAAACAAGCATAGTTTCATTTAAATATGCATAGTTTCATTTAAATAAGTATGTAGAGTAGTGAAATTCAGCAACACAAAGTTGAATGGTGATTGCTGGGAGCTGGGCACAGGAAAGAATAGTGAATTATTATTTAATAGTAAAATTCCCAAATTTCAATTTGGGAAGAGAAAAATTTTCAAACACAGATGGTGATAATGGCTCTTTAACAATGTGAATATACTGAATTCCACTAAGATGTACACATAAAATTGGCTCATATGGTAAATTTTATGTTATATATACTTTACCATAAAATTTTAAAATCCAAGGGAAATTGCCTTTCAGTTTGGGGCCCGTCTTCCAACTTTCTCTGTAGGCTATGTTCCAGCAAACTGGTTTTTCACATCACTTAGCGCAGCTTTCTGCACATGCCATTGCAGTGTTTTAACCTCTTGTTTTGGAATTCACTATACAAAATAGGTTCCCCAAGAAGCAAAAGAATTGCTAGAGGCCAGACAAACACGAGACCAGGATGCTGGGGAAGAAATTGAAATGCTGAATCAACCTGAGGTTTTACTCCCCAACATTTAAGAGCTCGTGAATCCTTTGATTCCTTAAATATATTGGAGGACATTACAATCCTTTTAGAATCATTTTTTATTTGCCTCCAAAATTCTGTTTGTGTAACTCCCAACCATTCTATGTAATACACTAAGCAAAATGCCTAATTCCTCTGTGATTTTTCTTGCTTAAAATAGATACTAGCATGTACTTGCAAATAAAACTGACCAGAATGTGTTTTAAAATCCTTTAATTAGAATGGTTGTGTTGCTTCTTCATGTGGCTAGTCATACATATAGCCACTATCATGATGTAGGAGACTCTTGCAAAGTATAAATTGAAAAGAAAAACTCATGAAGAGGCAATAAAATGATATGTGAATATTTTTAAATTATGGGTAAGATTAAGGTGGAAAACCCAGTTTAGACTACACAGAATTTTTCTAAACTCTATCCAACTGAAAATTTCAAAGTTAATATTCTAAAAAATAGGTTCTTAATTCTGATTTTTAAAAAAAGACAAATAGAAATTAATTTGGTTCAAAACTAAAATATACAAAATTACAAATTCTTATTCTACTTGACATAGAAAAAAGTTTTAAAAAATAAAAATAAATTAAAGAGCTAAAATACTACAACCAATTTGAACAAGTTACCAAAGGGCTTCCAAACTTTCATCCCCCACCTGCACTTATTTCCACTAATGCTCCAGAGAAAGTCCTAACATTCACTGTCAGGAAGAAAATGCTATACAGCTTTAGCAAATCAAATGCTTTTCATTAGAGGCAGTCTCTGGGGACTATGGACTTAACAAAAAGATTAGATGGAATTTAATTTTTAATCCAGAATTTTATCCTCAACAGGAGTCCTTTAAATAGCAGATGCCATTTATCACTATTAATGTGAGTGTTAAGGAACCCCAAAGCCAGTCACCTCCTGGAAAAGCTCTGCGGTTCACTTAGCAAATGATGCTGAGCGAAGATTGCCTCCTTTTGGATAGCTTAACCGTTGGATAATTGCTAACTTCAGAGAGAGCTGAGAAAGACAAATTTCTATCTTCTCTAGTGGTACAAGGGCTATAGAAAACAAAAGAAGAGAAAAATCATGTTCTTTGCTTTTAACCAATGATTGATTTAAGTAGTTAAATATGCAGATGTAAGCAAAACATTTTTCAGACCTGCATTTAGTGTGTTTAGAATTTCTAAAACAAAAGAGAAAGATGACTTAAGATTGAAAAAAGGAAGCTGTAGAAATTAAGGTTTTGGCTTATATATTTAGGGAAGAATCAGACGTACATCTAAAGCAGAAAAAAGTTCATGAAGTATTTCATGATTGAAGTAGGGAGATTAGTAACTTCATGTTTGTAATACACATGTAGTTCTGAACTATAATGAACATTTCCAAACCAAATTGAACATTTTATTCATTTTGCATTCATGTTTTTAAAGGGAACCAGTAAATAAATGCCCTTCTTTCCATTACCATCCTTGGAACAGTGTTAGGTTGAACCATCTATGTCATCATCTATTAGTCAAATAGTTGATAATGGCAATTTCATATGGTTCAAAGTTTATAGTTTATTCAAATAGTAATAAATTTAAACAATGAAGCTTCAGTGCTTTCCTGCTTTGTATATAGATGACCAGGTAAACCCATAGGCAAAGACTGCAATGTCAAGAATTTTTGGGTTATGGGTTTGGAGAAGACCCACATTGTGCTATTAGAAATATGCATGTGAACTTGTACTGTATTTCCACTTAATGAAGGTGCCATTGTTCTGGCTCTGCTAGTACAACAGCTAACTGAGGTAATGTAAAGATGAGTGAAAAGTCAAGTGGTTTATCTAACTATAGAGATCCTTCATACTTATTTGGGATTATTGTGTGGAAGGCCAGAAGCAACAGCCCTACCAGAGCGAGGTCGCATCTTCTCCTACTTGTGTCTCAGTAATTTTAGAGAATGTGCTTTGACGTACAGTTTATCAAAGGAAAGGTTCAGACCTTCAGTATTACTGTGAATTGTAATTGGCCCATCACCTACACGTTTAGTAAAATGCAGCGATGTGTAGTTCTATAAATTGGGTATTCCCAGAGAAATGCTCTTGGTGAGTTTCCAGGCCCTCACACACAGACGTTTACAGTTGCAAGTGATTTATTTTGCTGATCATTTCAACTTGTCAGTCCTGTGAGAATACTCTAAATCGTCAGGATTCTAATATCAATCATGAGGCTAATTAGAACTCCTAAATTTCTGCTAAATGTCTTTCATCCCTGTGAGGCTGGAAAGTAAAAGGAATCTGGTAGCATTAGGAGGGAGGGCGGTTCAGAGACCTCCTTTCTAATTAGATCATCTCCATCCAATCATTAATGGTTCCTGCTTCTTGAAATTAGAATAGAGTGGTCACTTATTTATTCTTCCTCTAATTCTGCCTCTTGGATGGAAATCCAAGCCACTCTTAATTTGTCTTATTTTAGCAACATATAATCTGGCTAATTTGTTCCTTAAGAATTCAGTTCTAAGTCAAACATTTCCCTTTAAGCCTAGATCTATGTTATGTCCAAACATCCAGATCAGCTGGGGGAAGAGGAAAAAAACAAATATTTGCATGTTTCATCTCAAAGAGAACACGGCATCCAAGCAGGTGGAAACACTGCATGAATCAGAAGCACTAATTTGTGTGCTAATGGATCATTTATTAGCATTTCATTTTCCTTGGGGAAAAAGTCCTATGTCAATCTTTCTAATTTTGAGTGCAATCTGCATATCTGTTGGTATTTAAAGAAAAGAACTGCATATATACAGGTATTCACATCCCTAAGCTACATAATTGGTTTCTGTTTCAAAATAGAAAAGTATCTGTTAAATGACTCACATGAGGTATTTCTAAACACTCATTTGATAATATGTGATTAATACCCTGCAAATACCTCATCAAAGCTTACAATAAACTGATGGATTTTGCTAAACATTAAATGACAAGAGCAGTCCAAAAGCTCAAAATTGCCTAAAATTCAGGGTCACATTATTCCAAAGAAATAACTAGGCAAGCCTGCCTACGTAGCCTGTTCAGAGTGAAAGGGGCCCCAGTGCATGAATCAACACTGTTCTGGTCGCAGCTGTGATCTGGTGTCACTGACTTTGTGGTGACTCTCTGATCTGATTTAACTATGAATGGGACCACCTCTGGTTCCCTGGTGCTTCCAGAACTGAAGCAGAATTCTGTGAATCCTCCCAGCAGCTGATACCTGGTTTATTTGTATCATCAGAGAGCCTGGGCACAAAAAGTCCTAGAATTAAAAGGCTTTCCTTTCTCCTGCCATTTCTTCACACTGAGTTGTCTCCCCTATCTGCTCTGATTTGAGAATGCAAACTGAGCAAAGAAAGAAAACCAATCACTGACTTACTATCTTGATTCATATCATTGTAGGGTTTTGCTCAATTATTATTGTTTTCACAGTGTTCAAGGGCTGTATACTGGGTTTGAAATATATTTTGACTTTCATATCCCCCTTTTTTTGTGAGCCCACAATCACTAAACACTCAGTTTTAGAAAAATAGCTAGCGTATCCATTTCTTATATTAGCTACTTAATATTTTTCAGTCCTATTAGGGAAGCAGACCATATTCCTATTTTAAATATGACAAAAAAGCCTGAGGCATTGTGAAGAAAATAAATTAACCAAAGTCATTGTGTTAGTTTCCTCGGGTTTCTGTAATAAAGTGCCTTACGTGGATGTCTTAACATCAGAAATGTGTTACCTCATATTTCTGGAGTTCAGAGTCCAAATCAAGGTATCCACAGGGCCATGCTCCATCTGATGTGGCAACTCCTTGTTTGCTACCTCCTAGTTCTGAGTAGCCCAGATATTCCTTGGCATATAAAGGTGTCACTCCAGTGTCTTTTTCCAATGTAGCATCTTAT